AAGGGCGATGCCTGCTTTTGGCTTCGTTTTAGATAGCTCTTTTGTGCGATTTTTCCGTTACCGTCGAGTTGCGCGTGCTCGTCTTTTTTCTTGGTCGTTCTTTGTCTCTGCTGCTGCTCTGCGCACTCGTTTCGGTCTGGTGGTGCCTCCTTCTCTCCTCCTCTTCCTCCTCCTCCTCCTCTTCCCCCTCCTCCTTCTCTCCTCCTCCTCCTCCTCCTCGTCGCTTTCTTCTCCTTCTCCTCCTCCTCCGCCTCCATCTCTCCTTCTCCTCCTCCTCCTCCTCCTTCTCTTTCTTCGTCTTTTTCTTCTCCTCCGCCTCCTCCTCCTTCTCCTCGCCCTCCTCTTTTCCCTTCTAGTCAGCATTCTCTTCCTCTTCTTCCTCCTCCTCCTCTCTTCTCCTCCTCCTCCTCTTCTCCTTCTCCTCGTTCTCTCCCCCTCCTCCTCCTCTTCCTCTTCCTCCTCCTCCTGCTCCTCCTTCCCTCCTCCTCGTCCCCATCTTCCTCCTCCTCCTCCTCCTTTTCCTCCTCCTCGTCCCCATCTTCCTCCTCCTCCTCCTTCTCCTCTCCTCTCCTCCTCCTCCTCCTTCTCGCCCTCCTCTTCCCCCTCCCAGTTTGCATTCTTCTCCTCCTCTTTCTCCTCCTCCTCCTCCTGGCTTTTCCTCCTCCTCCTTCTCATCCTCCTCCTCCTCCTCCTCCTCCTCCTCCTCCTCCTCTCCTCCGCGCCCCATCCCACTGCAGCGCCGCCGCCGCAAGGAAACTGCACGAACCCCCGGTGCACGTTTGCCCACAACGAGCGGGAGCTGCGAACCACGTCAGGCTTCCCTCGGGCGAGGGAAGCCCCACACGATGACGACGACGACGACATCATCGTCATCGCCATCGCCACTGTCATCGTCATCGTCATCCTCATCGCGATCGTCATCCTCATCGTCATCGCCGTCGTCGTCGTCGTCGTCGTCGTCGTCGTCGTCGTCGTCGGCGTCGTCGGCGTCGTCGGCGTCGTCGTCCTCATCGTCATCGTCGCCTGTCGGGCCGGAAACATCGTCATCGCCATCGCCACCGCCATCGTCATCGCCATGGTCTCCCGACATCTGGTGGCCTGTTTTTTTCAACCCGCGGCCCCAGAGGTCCCGACCGCTTCACCAGGGTAGTTTCTCGTCATGGATCCGCTTTCGGTGTTCATTGGGCCCGATAACCGGCCCGAGAGGCCGAAATGGAAGCAAAACGACCCAGACTGAACATATCATATCGTCGGAGATCTGGTCATCGTTATCGCCATCGCCATCGTCATCGTCATCGTCGGCATCGTCGTCGTCGTCGTCGGCGTCGTCGTCGTTGTCGTCGTCATTGTCGTCGTTATCGTCATCGTTGCCTTTTGGCCCGACATCATCGCCAACGCCATCCCCATCGGCATGCCATCGTCATCATCGTCATCATCGTCATCATCATCGTGATCATCATCAACATCATCATCAACATCATCATCATCTTCGTCATTGTCATCGTCATCGTCATCGTCATAACCATATCATCGCCATCATCATTCGCATCATCATCATCACCATCCTCATCATCATCATCATCATCATCATCATCATCATCATCATTATCATCCTCATTCTCCTTGTCCTCATCATCATCATCATCACCATCATCACCATCATCATCGTAACCGTTTTCAGCATCATCCTCATCCTCATCTTCATGGTCATCCTCATCCTCATCACCATCCTTCTCATCCTCCTCATCATCATCATCGTCATCGTCATTGTCATCATCATAAGCATCATCATCATAATCATCATCATCGTCATCGTCATCATCATCAACATCTTCTTCATCATCATCACCATCATCATCACCATTATCATCACCATCATCGTCACCATCATCATCACCATCATCATCCGCATCCTCATTTTCATCCTCATCCTCATACTCATCATCACCGTCATCACCATTTTCATCCTCATTTTCATCCTCATCCTCATACTCATCCTCATTTTCATCCTCATGCTCATCCTCATCCTCATCGTCCACGTCATCCTTATCCTCATAACCATCCTCACCCTCATCCTTATCCTCCTCCTCCTCATCATCATCATCATCATCATCATCATCATCATCATGATCATCATCATCATCATTATCATCATCATTATTATCATCATCATTATCATCATCATCATCATCATCATCATCATCATCATCATCATCATCATCATCATCATGATCATCATGATCATCATCATCATCATCATCATCATCATCATCAGCAGCAGCAGCAGCAGCAGCATCAGCATTATCATCACCTTCATCGTCATCGTCATCGTCACCATCATCTTGATCGTCATCGTTAGATTGTCGGAGACCTGACCATCGTCATTCGCCAGGCATCCACGGGCCCGCTCCGAGCCAGGGCCAGAGAGCCTGGTGAGCCCCGGCGTGCACTGGCCAGGCTGGAGAGCCGGAGGCGGAGGCGGGGTCTTGCGGGGCTTGCGGAGGCGGGGGCGGGGTCTTCGCATGGACGCTCCTTCTCGGAGGAGGAGGAGGAGGAGGAGGAGGAGGAGGAGGAGGAGGAGGAGGAGGAGGAGGAGAGGACGGCACCCGTGCCAGCCACGCGGTGTACCTCTGTATTGCGACCGAGGGCCCGCAGAGATCTTGACCGTGGCCCGTGTGGTCCACCGGCGGAGGCCTGCGGACGTCTTGTGGCTCTGTGGGCCCGCGGCCGGGGCCGGCAGGCTTGGGCGGCCGGGGCCGTGGCAGCATGGCTGGCAGGCACCACCCCGGCGGGTTGCAGGGTGCACAAGAAGCGGAGCATAGCATTGCGGCAGATCTGATGGGCCTGTTTTCCACCACCACCACCACCACAAGTTGGAGGGGGGAAGGAGGTTGAAGATGAGGAGGGGGAGGAGGAGGATCAGGAGGAGGAGGAGGAGGAGGAGGAGGAGGAGGAGGAGGAGGAGGAGGAGGAGGAGGACCCCCTCCCCCTCCTACTTATGGTGGTGGCGGTGGAAAACAATCCCACCAAGATCGCGGGCGAGAAACACTTTATGGGTGCGGCAAGGAATTCCCCGAGGGAGCCTCGAGTGATCAGCACGTGTTGCGTTTCTTTGGTGACCCGTCCTGTGCGGCGGCCCGCGGCTGTAGCCGCATGGCCGGCCGCCAGGAGGTGTGGGTCGAGCCAGCTCTCCTGGCGAGAAACATGCACGTATCCGCGGCCTCGCGGGCCGGGCCCCTCGGCCGCGGCCCCGCGGATACGGGGCGTTCTTTCGCGGATGTCCGGCGCGGGAGGTATCCGTGCGACCGCGTGTCCGCGGGATCGCGCCCCGGAATCCAGACCGCGAGGGCGCGTGTGCGGATATGGTCGCCGTTCGTGAGCAGAGAAGCGCCACGTGTCCCTTCCCGGCCAGCGTGGCGCTGCAGCAGCGCAAGTGCGGGCAAGTCCTGGATTTTTTTGGGACAGAGATGCCCCAATCCATGGCAGCAGTATATATTATATGAAGAAACATGTGGCTTCGGTTGAGGCCAGCCTTGATCCGCATCCACTGCGCCTCGGGCTTCTGGGGAAGGGAGCCCGAAGATTCGCGACGCAGCGAACGTGTACACAAGTCGAGCCTGCGGCACGCCTCGCTGGACACCAAAGCAAAGCCGCGCAGTCGAACCTCCCCACGCGATCGGGGCGGGCTCGACGATGCGGGCGGGCCCCAGAGTTCCTGCCCCCTTCTTCGGTAGCAATTCGTGGGAGCCTGGTATAATTCAAGCACGTCCTGGCGTGCCTATAGGCCTACCAAACAATGTTCTAAGAACCTTTTGTGGTTTCCAGGAACTGTTCTTAGAACATGTCTGGCCGAGACTGTTTTGTTTTAGCGCATCGGGTTTATGTTCTCAGAACATGGTTTTTGTCCTTAAAGCATTTTGGGGTTCTAGGAAAATTTTGTGCTAGGCCTATAGGAATGCCGGGACGATCGGTCACCCTCCTAATTCCGCCTTTAGCGTCGATTCGTGTCGGTCAGCGTCTGGGAGTCGACGAGGTAGCGTCGATTTAGCGTCGACGTAGCGTCGATTTGGGGTCGATGCAGCGTCGAGTGGCGTCGATTTAGCGTCGACTGGCGTCGATTCGCAAGAGCCGACGAGGTGGTACGGGAGGCTCCCACGAGTTGCCACTAAACCCTTCCCCTGGGGCAGCTTTTCGCCCCAGATTCGTTTCTGCTGGCCCCGGGGACCGGGGCCGGGCGGCCCCTGGAGGCCGAGACCGACGACGGGCGCCTGGACTGAGAGACCCTGGGATCCGGCGGCACGAAAAAATGGCATGTTAGCCAGCGTGGACCTCAGACAGTGATTTCTTGCAATCTGTGCGGTGCAGGTGCCATCCATGTGGTGAAGTCAGTGTGGTACAGTCTAGGTGCTGCAATTTGCTTTGACTGTCTTGAAGCTGTCCTCTCCGCTGCTCGTGCAAACCTCCCACCCTCCCACGCGCAACTTGGTCGCAAGACCTCTTAAGGCCGTGACGGTAGGTACCTAATGGCACTTGGCACCGACGCCGACGACGACAGCGACAACGGCGAAGACGAAGACGACGCCGCCGACGACGGCTACGACGTCACCGACGACGACTCCGACGATTTCGACGACGACGACGACAACGACGACGACGACGACGCCGACGCCGACGCCGACGACGACGACGACGATGACGACGACGCCGACGACGACGACGACGCCAACGACGACGACGACGCCGGCGAAGACGACGACGCCGACGACGACGAAGACGACGACGAAGACGACGACGACGGCGACGACGACGACGATGACGACGACACAGCGAACCGCGCGCGAACTGAAATTATATGATTTTCGTCGAGAAAGTCTTTTTCCCATAGGCCGTAATGAAGTTGGATCTTGAAATTGTTGAGGACAAGAGCCGAAGGAGGAAGGCCCGCCCGTGGACGACGACGGATAGAGGCGCCTTCTACGATTCGTGTGATTCCATGAAGCTCGGTCTTGGAAAGCCCAGTGTGCTTGGAAGGATTTCGACATGCGCGCGCAGTGGCCGCGCGCATGTGCCCCACATGGTATTTTTTACAAGGGATTGTGGCCCTGGCAGGCGCACGACCGATGTTGAAGGCGTTCGACGCGGGCGCATCAGTTGCTCGCATGACAGAAAATTTGAAAAACCATTGATTTTTTTAGGATTCGGAAAGCGCGCGCGGGTAGAAGTTGTGATTTTTACGCAGACTTGTTTTGAGGATGTAGGGTACGATCGTGTGATTTCATGAAGCTCGGTCTTGAAGTTGTTGAAACCACAATGTGTTTGGAAGGATTTCGACCTGCGCGCGCGGCGGCCGCGCGCATGTGCCCAGCATGGTATTTTTTACAAGGGATTGTGACCCTGGCATGCGCGCGACCGTTGTTGAATGAGATCGACGTGCGCGCAAAAGTTGCCCCAGAAGCCCGATTTGACAGGAATGTTGAAACACCATTGGTTTTCGATGGATTATGTAAGAGCGCGCGGGCAGATTTTTCAGAATTTTTGGGTGAGAAGGTCGTATGTTTTCATAGGTTTTCTTGAAACGGGATGTTGAGATTGTTGAGAACACCGTGTGCTTGGAAGGAATTCGACATGCGCGCGCAGCGGCCGCGCGCGTGCGCCCCGCATGGTATTTTTTACAAGGTATTCGCGAACAAGTGTTATGTTATAACAACAATTTTCACCGTCTTACATTCTTTGCAAGGGAACCGAGGGTGGGCCGATACCGGCCTGGCTAGAACAGTATGAATTCACAGGTCGGATGGACATTGGGTCAGAATTCTATGTGTTTTGCATCGGTTCCCGGGGAGTCGATAAGTCCGGGGGGGGGGAGGGTGGCAGAACCTTTTTAGCAAGGAGAACCTGTGATGGTGCAATGCAGCGCACTGCAGCGGAAAGCCAAGCAGGGCGAGGCAGTGCCAAGGCGTGCAGCACGATGCGGTGCAGTGCAGGTCCGATCGTGCGCGGAGGCCGCGCGCGCCCCGGCGATGGAAAACATGTACGTGCGAAAAACCGGGGCCCCCCGGTTGGAGTGGGCTTAGCAACTACACCCACATGCTGTTCGAGATTGACAAGTTTTTCGTGCACGCCTGAGCGCATGCCGCGCCGACGCGCCTTGGGGCGTAGGGTACTCCTTCCTTCCTTCCTTCCTTCCTTCCTTCCTTCCTTCCTTCCTTCCTTCCTTCCTTCCTTTTCTGAGACATGAACATTACAGGCAGGCTACTGCGAGGTCAGGAAATCCACGGAATCGTCTCCGAAGTTTGCAGAGTCGAACGCTCGTGTGCCATGACACACTTATGATAGCGACGTGGCGTGGGCAGCGCGATGCAAAGCAGTGCAAAACAATGTAGAGCAATGGAATGCAATGCAGAGCGATACAAAGTAATGAAACGCAGTTCAAGACAATGCACAGCAATTCACAGCCATGCAACGCAATGCGCAGCAATGCAACGCCATGCAGCGTAATGCAACGCAATGCAACGGACTGCAACACAACGCCCAACAATACAAGGCAATGTGAGTATGTGCAGCGCAATGACAACTAAATCAAAGAAGTGCAACGTAATGCAACGCAATGCACCGCAGTGCAACGGAACGCAACGCAATGTCCAGCAATGCAATTCGATGCAATGCGACACAACACAATGCAACGCAATGCAAAGGTATGTAAGTAATGCAACGCAATGCGACGCAATGCCCAGCAATGCAATGCCATACAATGCGATACAGAACAATGCAATGCAATGCGAAGCAATGCAAAGCAATTCAAAGCAATACAAAGCAGTATGAAACGTAATTCAAACCAACTCAACGTAACGCGAAACACTGCGATTCGGTGCAAAGCAATGAAGTGCAATGCGAAACACCGCGGCGCAAGTGGCGGCGACGGGCGGCGACGGGCGACGGACGGCAGCGACGGACGGCGGCGACGGGTTGCGACGGGCGGCCACCAGCTGGCAGGGGCGATACCGGTGCCCAGTTACCTGAAAAGAGGAGTAAGACTCCCGAAGTGCAAGCGTTGTCAGGGACAAGTGTGAGTGTCCTGGCGCCCGAAACTGGGCGAAGACGCGCGTCTCAGGAGAGGGCGCCGGGACTGCTAGAGCCAGGCCTCAGGAAACCGTCTGGGTCTTCCCCCTCGCCCGCAGGCTTTTCCTCCTCGCGACGATGATGATGACGTCATGGTCATGGCCATCGTCATCGTCATGGTCATCGTCGTCGTCATCGTCATCGTCGTCGTCACCACCGCTCTCGTCATCTTCGTCGTCATTTTCGTCGTCGCCCGCAGGCTTCTTCAAGACGAAGATGTGCAGTTTCGCCGCCAGCGGGCGCTGCAAGCATGGCGCGGCCTGCCGCTTCGCCCACAGCCGCACTGAAATCCTGGCCATCCCGGAGCAGTGCACCTCTGGCTCCGACGAGGGCCCGCCAGGCTCGACAAACGACAGAAATTCACACAGTGGGGGCCAGTCC